TTATTTGACCGCTGGAGGGGGTCTGGATCTGTTGTGAAAAAGGTTTTCAAGTCGTTGACTTTTATTGGCTTTTATCTGCTATGCTTGCAACGTTGACAGATGGGTAACTGCTCACCTCTTTTTCCTCTTACTCGAGGTAGCTCGAGGGCTCAGTTTAGGCTTGACAATATACCATGGGGACTGGGGACCGAATAAGTGGACCCATTAGATAAAATATGGCATATGCCGGCAGTCCGGTCGGGGGGGGGCACCCCAGTTGTATTGGTCATGGTTTTTATCCCCCTATTCAGGGCTAATACCACTTGATTGAACCCTGTTGTGTAAAGAGTTTTGACTATGCTGGGTACGATTCGATCTAGAAGTTGAGCCGTGGACTCAGCGCATGATAAGAAGCGCTGCTTGCTGCATACCACTTCTGCCCAGTAGACTACATAGATAAAGTGCCTCATGAGTACCGCATGAGTAAACAATCCGATTCAACGATGGTCAGGCATGGACTGATTCGATTACTTAGCATAATGATAATTGTAGGTGACGACGGCTGTCATTATGTGGATGAATTAATTCGGTCTGAATGATGCTAATCCCTTTCCAAGAACTTTCTCAGAGCTTTGCAAGCTGTTTTGCCCACGTTGCTGGGGGGATGGTGTTTACTTTCTTGGTCTTTAGGAGTGGTGGGAGTAGTGGTTGACCTTTCGTGATTTCTCTGTTGTTTCATGGCGTACTCATATGCCCCCCGCCCGGCTTGACGGCGGGCTCGATTTCGATGAGGTCAGTTGAGGAGGGACTTAGGCCGGATGGGGGGAGGGGGGTCGTACGGACTTGACTGACATCCCAACTAGTGTTGTGCTGAATTGCTGAGAAAAAACCAAGGGTATTATGAGAAAATTCAGAAAACTGTCCTAAGTTGGAGATAATCTGAGAAACATTTCGCTTTCCGTTTTGAACACTGCGCGGCTATACATCCCCACCAACCTACCTCCCCGCTCGACGGACAATTTTTTTGGGTGAAAAACTGGAAATGTAGGTAGTTTTTGGGAGAGGGGGGGGGGTCGTGTTGCAGTGTACAGCATCGTTGGGAGAATACCATCGGGGACTATTATTATTGATATTTGGTTGGTAATTCCGCCTCCCCCACCAGTTTAACGCCGGCCTTTAGGGAAACCGGAACAGTTCTCGGACAGAGAAAATTAGTTGCTTGGGATGATGATGAAAGGGAGTTGTACTGGAATAGGAACTCACCCATCCCGATGCTGTACCTTGGGCTAGTGTGCTATCATAGCAAAAGAAACCAAGAGAGCAGCTACAGTTCAGCTTTTATTTTAACTAGGCTATATAGCTTGTAACAATGGAGTAATGGAATTCGAAGGGGCTGATGTGCCCTTTTGCTTGTTTTCTGAATGCCATCTGAAGCAAATAGATTCCACGAAAGACTTCATTTGCCTTCTCAAACAAGGGCAAAGCACGAACCCGAAAGCTTCACAGATTACATAGAGCACAAAAAATCTTAGTATGGCCGAGAATGTCTCGTAGGGATTGCTAGGACAAACTTTACACAAGAATGCTGAGTTATGGGCAAAAGTCGTGCCCCAGGCGGGAGTCGAACCCGCACCTCACGCTTTCCGGGCGAGTGCGCTATCCGTTACGCCACCAGGGCCGCTTTTACCCTCTCAGCTCAACGGCTTTTATGCCGTAGACTTTCAACCGTAATCGAGATGTCGGCAATGAACCGCGAGGCCGAAGGCTCCACAGATTTTGGTTGCCAGTGTTCCAGATTTTGGTTGCCAGTTCGCCGTCTTAGCGGATAATAGTATTTTATTGAATCGCTAATTTTATTTGCTTATTTATTATTGATTTAGCTCAGCTTTATTTACTTATTTGTGCGGCTTAATTTGTTTCTTCTCATCTAATTATTGATATTTGTTCATGTTTTTAATCTTGTTTTCAGATTCATCGAGCGTGGACTGGCGTGGCTGTTCACTACTGTCTATTCGAATCATCCGAGACGACCGAATCGGCCACACTTCTACGCTCATTAGCCAGCCAGCTAACAAAGCGCTTTCCGAATCTTGTCCTGCCAAAACTCTCCACACTCACTTTGCTAGCCGATTATGATCATGCCTTGGAGCAGTATTCACCCTGCCATTGGCGTCACTGCCTCGTCCTGCCAAGCCATTGTTTATTCTGATCGACAACATACTGCCACATATCTACGATCTAGTGCTAGCGGTAAGTACATACTGTTGTTGTTTGACTTTTAACGAGGGCTTGTTGTCAAAAGCTGCCACAGCAGTGCTATTTTCGAGTGCCAACGATCGCCTCTCACTTATGAAGAGGCTTTGTTCCGGTGCACAAGGGCGCGCTGGGGCAGCTTGGCTGGGCTCAATGTCAGGGTGATACGGTTTGTTGAGTAAACAGAGGAAGCCGGATCTCGGATTTCAGGGGAGACATCTGCTAAAGTCAGCCGGGGAGAATACAAATATAATTTTTAGGGAAGCAACCCACTAGCAAATGTATTTTTCTCACTATAAACATGAATAATCAATTAGAAGCCCCGTTTTCCCTTGAATCGCCGTAGTTGAGGTAGTAAAATTGCATTATCGCTGTTCTCTAATGGTTTTCCAGCTTATATGTCCATGAATAGGAAAGGAAGAGATTTATTGGAAAGAACTCTTGCAATTTGAGCATCAAGTACTGAATGTCCACACAATCGTTGTAGGCTTGAAAACCCGTCCGACTAACATAGTCGAGCACAATTTCGGGAAATTTTAGGTTCTGGGGGCGAAAATGATGTGCTGGCAAGAGGCCCACGCTCACCACTTGCGAGTTCCTGGGATTAAGCAACTCCCGCGAGGGCTGACCAGGTCCTCTTTTTCTCCGTTACTGGTAAATTGGCGCCAGATGGGTCTACGAGAAAAAAATACTGATGAATACGTTGGCTATCGCCCCCCAAGTCATTGTAAAGATCGTATTATGCTCAAAGAGCCATCGCGATTCTCAGTGGGTGTACTGCACGTGGCTCATTCCAAGAAGGATTGTACCCGCGGCGGAATCTTTGCTTTTTTAGGAAGGGGGAAGGGGTCCTGGAGTTTTTTTGAATGAAACGTTTGGATCGTAGCGGTCACTCTTGTTTGCTAAGGTTGCTTGGGCGTAGAGGGATGAGTTTGGAGCAGTGCCAACCCGTTCTTCACCAATTTTGGAAGCCGATAAACACCACAGTAGGTGCAAAACGGACGGGCGCCGTGCCAGCCCCGTGAAACGCCCTACCCTCTTTAGCGACCAACAATGTTTGTGCCAAAGACTTGACCCTAGCCAGGACTCAGATCCGGTTCTCACGGGCTGGATAGGACAGTATTCTGGAATTTCTTGATGAAAACTTATGAAAGAATACATCATTCGGTGATAATCCGAATTCTGCGCTCTCCCATCTCCAATGCCGAAAAAAAATTGGAACAGGGTAATTTTTGGCCAGATTTGCTATTATTTCCCAATGTATCGATTGATCAATTCAGCAAATCTGCAAGTCATTTACAAGTATGTAATCTCAGATATCCCATGAAATATTCTTATACTCCTCCACTATACTTGAAAGAAATTCGAAAAGTAAAGAATATACAATAACACATGCAGCACAATATGTAAGAAATATAAGTTCCCGGTAAAACCTGAAAAAAATTCCAATGGAATCTTTTCTTGAAAAATTCCCCGATATTAGCATCCATCACGGAAGCACTTTATTTGGGAAGCTAGGGGCCCAGTTTGGGATTTCTGGCGACTTTCCCCAAAACTCCTTGCGAATTGTAATTCTCCAACAGTGTACACTTAGTGGTCTCAAAGAACTTCGATGGCGTGCTCGTTCCAGAAAAACACACAATTTCCAATTCTGAGATCGCCTGATTCGCGATAACACTGTTTTTGTTGGCTAGAAATGTCGTCCAATAAAAGGAAAGAAACTTGAACATATGGTGGGGTGTCTTTTTCGCGCCCTCGTTTAGCCTTTTATTACAGTGAGCCGGTCCCATAATAAAGCGCCATCAAGTTTTGATGCGGCTTTCTTTGCAGCTTTTCCTAATCCCTCGCCGTCTTGGTATAGCAGGAGAGCAAGACAATAGAGATGTGTAAGGGCGCGTTCCGTGCTCGCGGGCGAAAATTTGGTTTTCTGGGTCCCTTTTGCACCTGGAGACAGGGTACAGCATCGGGATGGGTAAAAGGGCTTTGCCATAGTGCTCAATCCCTCCTCCACAGCTCTCCTTTCGACAACCTCTCACCTACCAACTTTTTTGCCGTCGAGCCGAGCGGAGCGGTGGGGGAGGAGGGGGTGGGGGTGAACAACTGGACGTCTCTTGGTCAACTAGTAGACTTGAAAGTTGAAAGAAACAAAATCATTTCAAGGACTAGCCAGATAGGGTCATTTGATGACCACTCACTCTTCAAGGTAGGTTGGGGTTGCACTCGTTGACCGTTCCCTTTGAAATGGCGGCGCCATTTTTTATGCGTTCTAATCGCGCTAATCCAAAGGCGGCATCCCACTGAGAGGCTGGCGCTATTAGAGGGCCAGCGTTTACGACGATCACATTTGCTCCATGATATACAACCATGGACGTAAACATTAGGGTTAATTGGACAGGGTGCTGATCGTCGGGCTAAGTGATTTTAGTGCGCGTAGAAGCGAACGAGGTTTTCTAATCGCTTTGAAGGGAACACGAATGTTTGTTGACCAGTGAGGGCTATTCCGAGAGTTCTAAACGCGTTCTATCCCCTAGGTGGTAAGGTTTGGTGTTCAAAAAGGGGTAAGTGAAGTGAAAATGAGTACTTACTAGAGGTAATAGGGAGTAATACTCTTTCCGAACTTCCTGAAATGAGAAGAAGCGTTTTATCGGGAGCGAAAAGTTCTGCGGACTCTTTTTGGAGATTTTTCGACCCAAAAGAGTCTCTGTTAAAAAGTCATGTGATTCGTTCTATGGAGCATTTTTCAGATTAATCGTTCCCTTCCATCATGGATGCGACTGGCTGTCACGTCAAGACCACTTGCTCCATCGGATCAGTACAAATTCGAAAGGTTCCATGACCTTGTACTGAGTGAATGTGAGTTCATTTATCTTCTCCATACCACCGACAAGGTAACCTCAACGTTGCTAATGACGCCGAAAACTTTTTGAGGTTCTGATCGATCATACGGTAGCCTAACAATCATGCTTTAATATACCCTTGTTCGCTGCAGAGGGTTGGGCGTGTCAGGCAGTATTTATGGGTGTGTCATGTTCTTAAAGCCGTTCTCTACCTTCTTGTAATTACTACGAACGATATGATGCAGTCTTGTCACTTGCTCGCTTCAAGAACTGGTCAAGAACGGGTTTGGCACCGCGCCAAACTCATCCCGCCTGACACGCCCAACCGTCCGCAGCGAACTACACTATACTTTGAACGATACTCATATCATGAAGACCTAGCAGTTTTAATCGTGGAACCTCGGCCGAGTCATATCCTCGTAAGATTGAAGTTCTGTATTAGAAGGGTACAGTGTTCGTTCGACCTCGGGTGGGGGGGGGGATTCGGCACCTTTGGAATGGTTTGTTTTGCGTAGATGATAGCTGTAACTGAGCCTGTAAACCCGTAAAGCTGCCAAATGACAGTCTGGAGACACTGGTTACCCCCAGGTGTTCAGCAAGATGGGCTGTACAAGCGTTCGTTAGGTACCCTACGTGAATCCCGTCCCCCCACAAGCCGAATTACCGCCAAGAGAATAGTTCTCGTGCCAGTGTCAGTTTTTTGGCATCATTTTGTTCGAAAAATTCGCGCGAGAAATAAGTTAAGCGGATCGGTGGCAGTGGAAAGGTGACTTACCAGCGTCCCGTCGCGGGTCAAAGTGCATCTGACTTGAGGAATGAACCGATGAATGTCTACTGGCTGCGCGGGGCACGTAAAATTGGTGCCGCACCGTTGCGTAGGATTGAGACGCTGAAAGCGTTGGTTCATTCGGCTAGCCCGGCAGCTAATTGTGAGTTGTATGCCGCGTATGCTATCCCATAAGCCACTATGTACGGATTTCAAGCAAAGAGGAAATCTGTCCCCATGGAAAAAGGGATCGACCCACGGCCTGAGCTTCATCGAAGTTGATGTTGGTAACTACTCCTTGATGTAAGGTATTGAGCGAGCTGGGATCGGTTTCATTGGAGTAGGCGCTCTACCTCGAGTGCCCTCCACTGCGAGGTCTTCGGATGCCTGCGAATGTAAAGGTGTATTGAGAAATATAGTGTAGGTGTCTCAACTTCTACTTTTTGAGAAGGAGGGGGGTCCTTTCTCGAAGCCTCTTTTGTAGTTTCCATGACTCTTATTTTCAAAGACACAAGCTTTTTGTCGGTAGGCGCTGCAGTTTGTAGATCTGAAATTTTATTTTAGAGTTCTTGGTTCTTCATCGATCAACTGGCACGTGCAATCGATGCCGGTTTCGTACCACCGGATCGTGTACCATGTAGTGTGAAGGATTTGATGGATGATGTCTGCCTCGCTCTACCTCAACGACTGCCCATTTACCTTCTTGTTGATCAAAGTGAGTACTGCGAAGTGATTCTTATTCTCGAGAAGATTGTCCCGCATTGCAACCTGTTCCTATTTCCACCATTGACTTTTTAAGTCCTCAGTGGTGGTCAAAGCACTTTTAAGCTCTGCATTATTACACTCCATTTTAGGCCTCGCGGCAACCGCCACCGTTGACGTTTTTCTACGCCGTCGCTCAGCTGATCATACGAGAGAGCGTGCAGATGATTGAGCGCGAGATTGATGCAATTAGCATCGTTTTGCAATGTACAGGTGATTTTTAGAGCCTGAGGGAGACCTGATGTATTTCAGTTCCCTTCTTCAAGATTCATCTTCACAAATGTTCATCGCTGTTTGTTTTCCTTCTTTCTTTCATTTTTCTCTTTCTTCCCTTCTAGAAAAGTCCACTGGATGAATATTAGAACTTCACCTCTGAATCATTTTTCTTTCCTATTCAGAGGAAGAGCATAGAGAGCATTTCAGATCCTCTGATAGTTTGTGGGTCCTGGGTGGAAATCGATGGCGATCTTGCACCGTATCACACGGCATGGGCTGAGTTCTATAAGACGAAGCGACGCAAGACACCGCAAGATGTAGTCGAGCTGGCTTATCATCTTTCACATTCAAGTAAGGCTTTCCTTTTTAATTCGATCTTCGCGCAGTTTGGCTGAGGGGGGGGCATTTTGCACTTTCGCTAGTTCCTACGCCGTGTCTATGGCTTTATAAAAAACGTTGTCAGGTATTCTTTACAAGAGCTGAAAAGCGGCCTCTATGAACTTTAACTGTGTCCTTCTGGCTTCACGAGGTTCCACAAATCTCTCCTTGTGGCTAGGCATAGCGGTGGGAACTAGCGGAAGTGCGAAATGCCCCCAAGTCGAACTGCGCCTCCCTTTATTTTTTTTTGGTTTTTGCTTTTTTTGGTTACAATACTGCTCTACTGTAACGTCTCTTCCGCAGTTTTCCTGACTGACTTACATAGGCTGAAATGCCCTTCTCAGTTCTCAGCTTTAGTTCAGCATTATGTCACGCCATTGTCACATCTGATGCCTCCTCAATTAGATGACTCAATAGGGCGATAATTAAGAGGTCAATCTGGCGGAATGTGTCAGTCGAACGCCGACACTATCACACGAACGCATCTCTATTACGTCGACAAACGTTCATGGTCGTTGGCAGATCGCCACGAAAATCAGGGACGTCTTGGTCGAATCTCGAGTAGTGGTCAAGTTCCCTTGGCCTGGAAATGAATGATTTTTCGGAAGTTATTGTATAAGGACTTAAAGGCAGTGGGCCGTAACGACAGCGGAGCAAAAAGGGGAGAAAACATGGTGTTCATAAGAGGTAAAGGGTGTGGAATCTATGTAAGAAAAGTAGATTCTTACGGACTTTGCCGTAGTAGTATACCGCGTGCACTCCATGACCAGAATGTGGACGAACTTCCAACTTGCGAGTGAGATGGAAATGAATCAAAAAGAAGGACGTTTGAGCTGCTGGGACTTTATTGATGCAAGCAGCATTAGGGCGAGGGTTCAGGGATTAAACGCAGGGCCACCTATTTTCCTCATTGCGTGACGTACCCCCTTTGGGTCACCCTGGCAATCACTCTATTGGTGCAGTAGTCTATGTGCTGAATAAAAGCGCTTCCAACAGGTGTCACGGATCGTGTGCGTTAGTCAAACTCGCATGGCGAGAATGTTGGGCTTGAGCAGCGTGTGTGTTGTGCTACTCAAATATCTTTTATATCTTATTTGGAATCCAATGTCTAATCCCTGAATTTCAGCTGTTCCTCCAATGGACTCCATACGTACGCTCGCGTCGGTTGGTGCCGGTGATCTTGTCCTGAAGTGTTCAGTAATCGATATCCCAACTTCTGTGCTGCTGTCAAAGGCTGGTGCTTTGCTGCAGGACCTATCTTTTAATGTGAGTATCCTTTCATTCATTGGATCCATTAGTGCATAGTACATATTGGCCCTGTGCCCAGCGTTTTCCCATGAAGCTGTTCCTTAATCCGTAAATTAGAAATGCGAGACGTCATTAGGCTCACATAATTCACCCAACGTCGCCTCGTAGCCTCAGCGAATGCAAATTCGCCGCTTTACGACGGATGGACTGAGGTATGATAAATGGACTTCCGAGCGCGAGGGTGGTAACAGATGTAGGGACGGCGACCCCCTAGCTAAAGGGATATTAGCCATTGTGGCGTCTGAGCAACTGCCAACAATTAACATCCATAGGTGAAAAATGATCCCTTTTTGGCTCTGGCATGGATACCTATGTGCCCGCAGATGCAGTTCCGCTCGCGGGGAGGGGCATCAAATGGTACTGAGCAAAGTTTATTCAGGCCACCCTCGTGTGACCTGTACATACTTGTGATCGAAGTGGCTCACTTGTACCATTTCGCAGCTCGACATGAGTTTACAGGTCCGGGGGGGGGGAAAGAAGACCTGTTAGTTCACATGAACTAGCGAAAGCAACTAGTGTAAATGAGAGATGCCTTCCCAAACCGCTGTTCTCGTAAGCTGAAAATCTACGCTCTTGACCTCATATGGTTTCATGGGTCTAAGGGGAGGGGGGTACTTGAACATAACTAGGTTTTCGAGAAAGAACATTCTGACCCGTCAAGTATTGGCGCAATGGCGGCCTGGTGAAGAACTTCTGAACTATTCATTTGTAAGGGAGTTCCGAGAGAGTTCTACTTGAAAATCGGAAGATCGAACTTCGGAAAACTCGCTGAGCGGAGAAATTTATCTAAAGCGGAGTGTAAGACAGCAAGGACAACGATGCTAGACTTGCTGTGTATGTCCCAATCGCGGCGAAGCGCGTGGCAGGTGAGGCTAAATGAGCACTCGACGGCCCTGCCTGTCATTAGGCCCATGTCTCCACTTAGAACCTGCCGCTCCTGGTGGAAAATGAAGCCACTGTGTTGGTAACTGACATCGTCCATACCTGGTTCGGATATCTCCTCTGATTAACTATTCGCTTTTGTCTGCTGTAACTAGTGGGATAAGACTTCCATCGCTTTTTGCTTGAATCGACCAGTCTTTACCAAATAGACGTGGATAAATCCGTCCTCGTTACAGGTATTTACGCGTAGTTGTGTCTGGGTGGAGAGTTAACCAGATACAGGGTATCGGTAAAGTCCAACGTAACCAGGTCATGTGCATAGAGTCGGCAACAGTTTAGCCTATACATCCCGCCGTCACCGCCGCAGCGATAGCCGATATCCGTGGCGACGCCGGCAGTGTGAACCCTCTGCAGGCAGACATGGGGATGGTTCCAGAGAAACTTATACTCCTTCTGGTCAGTGGATTAGGAGGTGTAATGGTAAAATATGGCCGCAAGTGAGTGCTGCGCACGGACGGCTTGACGTATGAAGGGGCCGAAGCTCCAGTTTTTAAAAGGAACTGGTATGACCATCCTCTTTTGGAACACCAGGTCATCTAAATGAGAAAGTCACGCTGATCGTGTGGCTGAGAAATTCCAAAAGAAACGTGGCCATCGGTGAATGTTTAGACGCTCAGCCCCCGGTGGGAGGAGGGCAGACAACTAGGAAGGCCGTGATTGAGTGTCTCCCTGTAATCCGCTTTTTTTTCCATGTGCCCGGACTGTGCAGACTGTAACCGTAATCGATTTACTATAAGAAATCGCTCTGTACTCCGAGGGATCTGAAGATAATGCGGATGTGTTGACATTTAATCTATATAAAACCAGCTGTCCCCGCCACCCTCTAGATTGTTTGAACACACATTCGCTTGTTTTTTAGAGCGAAGTTGTACCAGTACGTATAATGTTAGGACGATTTATATACTTATATTTTTTTTTTCGGGTGATTTTGGAGAAGGTGCTGAAGCTACCATGAACTGCAGTCTGAAATGTAGCGCGTATTTCTCGCATGTTATCGAATTTCACGGATGCTTGGTTAGGAGATGCCGGTATTATCGGCTAGCCGCGTCGAGGCGCGGCCGCGCGGTGATTGTTCAGCTTTTTTGGCTGTGCTTGTGCATCTCGAGATTTCGGCTGCGCGTCGATGGATTGTGTCATTTCTAAGATTTTCAACGCGCAGTTAGGAGACGATCTAAGTCGTTTGAGATTTCACCGAACATTTTATAATTGTACATGTTGCTGCAGGACTTTCCTGGTCTGGCTAGCAGCATCATCTCGTGGTGGTATTACAGATTGCAAAGCGATATCTCTCAATATCGGCCCCAGGTAAATATATTTTGTTCAAACGAGAGACGTTTTTCAGGTTGTGAAGCTCATTTTCGAAATGGTTTGTTGCATGCGGTAAGGAACCAAAATCTCAAAAGCAGAAATTCATTTCTGATATGCCTCATTGCCCGTTTGGGAGTACAGAAAGGGAAAAAAGTCTATGAGTGTGTGAAGAACTGGTGGTGAAGAAGCATTCAGGGTTTGGACAAAGACAATTTTATGGAACACGTTTTATGTGTGATTTAATCGGTCTTTAGAACCCAAAAGAGCTTCCTTAATGAGATAAAGTTTCATTGAGGATTGGAATGTTTAGTTCCGCTGAAGTGCTTTTTTTTCTTCATATTTATTGCTTATTTATTTGTTTTCTTGCGAAAGAAACAGCTTTAGAATTCATCTGACTTATTGGCAGTGACCATACAAGTATTTCAAGTACTTGAATTTAGATTGCGAACCATGTTTGCAATGGCCAGTGGAATGCGTTGCGAAGTGCTGCTTGTAAATATTGACTATTAACTTATTAATAGGTTAGTTGTTGATTAAATATTTATATTTTTATTTATTAATTTATTTATTCATGCGTCGAAAGAGTGTGCACCTTGTACACTGCTTTGCTCCCTTAGCAGACACGTATGAAAAAATAACTAATGCGCATATAGAACGCCTGACATCAGATATAGAAGCAAAATTATATACCACGGAAACTTTGGACTCTATCGTTAGCTGAAAATCTATCGCTTCTGGACCGTCATTATTGGTTCATGGGTCTGAGGGAGGGGGAGGCGGGGGCGGTCCTGAAACATAAAGGTATGGTTTTCGAGAAAGAACGATTCTGGAGCTCATCACGTGTGGCGGCACTGGCGCTTGTGAAGAACATCTGAACTATTGTGTTTGTGTAAGGGAGTTCGATAGAATTGGTGTTAGAGTACGAACAAGGACAAATGGAAAATTGGGGGCTCCGAAACTCGCCGAGCCGCGGAGAAGATTTAATAAAACGGAGTGTAAGACTGTTTTAGGACCCACAGGATCTTAGAGCTGCTAATTTGAGTCCCAGTCCGGCGCAGCGGTGCAGGGAAGGCCTGAATGAGTTCACCTGCGGCCCTCCTGCCATTGACTGTTCTTACCACTGAATCCTGCTACTACTGGTTCGGAAATGCAGCAGCCTAGTTGGCTCATTCCATACCCCTGTTCGAAAATGCTCATCCCTAATTTCTCCAGGTTCGGCTGTCTCCTGTCTGCTGTACCTTAGTTTGAAAAATTTCCAGCTCAAATTTTTTCGACTTGAATCCAGACCCAGATTTTAACGCAAATTCCGATGGATAAAGATCCATACTCGCTACACCTCAATTTACGTGTATTTTGTTTGGGTACAGAGAGTTAACCACACAGGGTCTCGGTCAGGTCCACTAACGACAGTGTGATAATGGAGCCGCGCAACAGTTACCCGTTCGCCGTGCGGTGGCCGGATATCCGTGCGACGCAGCAGCGTGAACCCTCTGGCAGACAGACATGGGGATGGTTCCCAGAGAAAACTCTTACCCTCTGGTCAGTGGAAGGAGAGTGGCTAAATGGGAAAAGATATGGCCCGAAGGGTCCGTGTGCGCATGCGGCTGACCTATTGAAAGGGGCGAAAGCTCCAGTTTCCAAAAGGAACTGGAATGAACAGTCGCTTCTTTGGAACACGCCAGGTCAAAATGAGGAAGTCACGTAGCGCCCCTTGATCGTGCTTGGCTGAAGGCAGTCAACCGTGGCCCCATCGCGGAGAATGTGACCTGCCTCAGACGGTGGGAGGAAGGCGTAGACCAAGCCAGGAAGGCAGACAAGTAGATTGAGTGTCTCCTGGCAATTCGCCGCTTTTATTTCCATGTGCTCCCAGAGACTGTGCAGAACTGTGACCGGTAATCGATTTACTGTAAGAAGCGCCTGTACTACCGAGGGATCTGAGATATGCAAATATGTGTGGCATGAGAGAGAGAGCAAGGCCCACCTATCTTGGGAACGTTTGAGCACGTATTCCCGCTCTATTTTTTAGGTGAGTTTGTACCTATGAGTATAATTTCAGGACGATTTCATCTACTTATGTTGTACGGGTGATTTGGAGAAGGTACTGAAGCACATGACATCGCAATCTGACATGGTAAGCATTTTCTCCAATGTTATTAGAATGTCACGGATGTTGGTTAGGAGATCCGAGATGCCGGTCGAACCGGCCGCACGCGTGATTATTACAGTTTTTGGCGCTGTGCTGTTGCCGAGCATCCTCGATTTACTGGTGTTACGCTTCGATGCCTGTGCACATTCCAAAGATTTCCAAGGCACACTTAGGAGACGATCTCGGTCAGTTGAAATCTCACGCAAACCCCTTTCTGACTGTAATAATTGTTCTGGCAGGAACCTTCACGTCTGCTACAGCATCATCTCGTGTGATTACAGACTGCCCAAAGGCGATCACTTCAATATTCGCGCCCCAGGTAAATAATATTTTGTTAATAACGAGAGACGTTTTCAGGTTATGAGCTCATTTTTGAAACGTTGTCATCCGGTAAGGAACGAAACTCTACAGCAAAATCATTTCTGATGTGGGCCCATCTTCCGCGTTTGGGAGTACCGAGCGAAGGGGAAAAAAGCGCGACCCGACTTGGCGGTGAATGGCTATTCGGTTTTTTGGAGCAAAAGATAATTTTGAAGCACCTTTTTGTTGAGCCAACAAGTTTGAAATTGCTTCACACCCCAGAGGAACCTCCATTTGAGATCAAGGTTTCATTTGGATTGAAATTTTAGATCCGGCTGAATCCTCTTTAAGCTTTTTTTCTTCACATATTTATTGCTTATTTATTTGTTTACTTGCTGCAAAAAGAAACCGCTCTAGAAATTCATACCTGAACTTATTGGCAGTGACCATACGAGTATTTCAAGTACTTGAATTTAGATTGCGAACCATGTTTGCAATGGGCAGTGGAATGCATTGCGAAGTGCTGCTTGTAACAATCATTTAGAAGTGCTTAACTTATTAATCGGTTAGTTGTTGATTAAATATTTATATTTTTATTTATTCATTATTTATTCATGCGTCGAAAGCGTGTGCACCTTGTACACTGCTTTGCTCCTTTAGCAGACAACGATATGAAAAAAACTATCGCATATAGAACCCTGACAGCAGACCTGTCGAAGCAAAAATTCTACTACGACTTTGGCGCTGTTCGATTCGGGGGGAGAGGGGGAGGGCTTTCATAACTCGCTGGTTACTGTAAAATTACACGTCTCACCTTCGTGAGTGAACTCCTTGCTAAGTGTAAATGAAGCTCGTGTTATCGCATAGCTTCACAGGACCTAACAGTTTTCCGCGAAGGGATCGGAACGATGGACGTTGGACCGGCGCAATGCCCCTACAAAGCCGAACTGGTCCTTGATTTTTTCATTTGATATGTTGTTTTGACTCGCGGCACATTTAAGTAGTGCAGGGAAGAAACCCTTCGGAAGCACAGTAGATGTAGCGCGCATGTGTGGGAGAAGTCAACAATCAAAAAAGAGTTTTGACAGGCCGTTTGAACCCCCTCTCCAATCTCATCTGCGCTGCGGAATCCCGCATGGGCGACGTGCCATTTTTTAGTATGGGGCGTGAGGTCATGGTAGCACAATGAATGGACCCAGTGCATGGAAAGCACTCTTTGTCGTCTTAAGGTTCTTTCCCTAGTCTAGTCCAGGCAAGGGTTCTGCTCATAGAAAGAGGGTCCTTCCTCCGAGGGTAATCATGTTATTTATCCTGTAGCGACACTGCAATACAGTAGACCAACCCAAAAATCATGTGGTCAAGTAGCAACTCCATTAGCGCTAGTACAATAGACCGGCCATAAAATCAAATAACAAGTAATTCTACTGCCGTGAATCTTCATTACGTCAGGTACTTGTGTCATAAACCTCCCCCAAGCACTTGGTCATGTCATTAGCGCTGTTTAGTATTCAATTTACTGCCAACATATTGCCGCAGTAATTGTTGCCTAATGGACACGGCAGCCATCTGGATCGACGACGTGCTCTCGGCACCAGCTAATCCACACTCACACACACGAAGATTAATTGCCATCTAAATATTTATTGCTTTTCTGATGGACATGGCATATAATCTGGCCCGTCAAAAATGCAAACGCTGATTCAGGGGGCAGTAGTTTTTGGAAGTCAGTGGGGGGGGGAGAGAAGTGGCGCAGCTACGTCACACATTGCACGGTGATCAAATCCCTCAGTGCTTTTCGTACAGAGTAGCCAGCTATACCTTTTATGGGAATGGCTCATTAGTCTGTGCAAATGTAAAAATAAAAACGGGGTTCCATGAGAAGCAGGACACGCCGTGGTGTTGGGGCGAATTTTTCGCTAAATGCGAGACCTTAAGTTTTCTTCCCCGCTACGATCTCCTTTTCAGCCCACCAACCATCTTACGAAACAAAGCACTCTATCATTGGGAGGGTCCCATCAGGGTGGTGCACTCGGTCGTTGGGTAGGCAGGAAATAATTTTATTATTTTTATTTATTTTTTTTCCTTACAGTTTTTGACCCCATGCGACCTGGTAGTTGGCGTCGCCGTCGAAGTCCTATTCATGTATTGATGGTTGAAATTAGTATTTTTTACGGTCTACTTTATCCCCCTGGCTGTAGGAGCAGCACTTTTCTTGAGGGAGACTGCGGAACTCTCGGAAAAGTGGGAAAATGGACAGGAAGTTGAAGAACATTCAGGAAGACGGTCACTAAGTTGGGTGAGCTGGGGTCGTACGGTAGGAACGGGCTCGTCTGACATCGCTACGTCTCCCATCCCCATGCTTTACTCTGTTACCGAAGCGAAGGGGAGAGACACACAAACTCTTCCCGCTATTTAGACCTTATCCCTGAGCCAGAGTAGGCGTGGCATTTGAACATGGCACGGAATTGGTTACTCGTGGAATATTCCAGTCTGGGACAACTGTCATCTTGTTCTGTGTTGGACAGAGACACGACAACAGTTGTCAGATGAAAATATCTCACCAAGCATAGACACCTCAATGGTTAAGTTGAAACATGCGGCCACGCCTACCCGGTCTCAGGGATTTCGAGTATACCAAACACGATCCCTGTTGGGATCCTTAAGGCAGTTTTGGCACGATGGTTTTTTCTACTTAGCCTAAAAGCTAGTGGGCCTGTATAAGTGGGGAAATGGCGAAAGAACGGAGTGAAACGGTCAAAATCCGGTGAAGAAAAGCCTCCGTTCTCAGTGACTTGTAAATCGATTTCGGACGAGTTTCCCGTATGCATCTTGCCAATCACCGCTACCAAAGATACGGCTGCATATGTGCACCCATATATGCATGCAGTATCACGGTCGCATCATACCAATCCCTTTGCTTCATAATTTGCTCAGCAAATGAATGAATACGAGCGTCAGAAACGGTCGTCCGTTTGTGGGCGGGCGGGCAAGGAAGGCGTTTGGGACGTAAAGTTGTTGCTCAATAGGGCGTTATAGGAGGTACCCTCCTCGGAAAAGGCTTGACGCAGCGACTGTCCGAGGTCACGGAATTCTGTTAAGCCAGTTGTACAAATCCTACACCTGTATAGCGAATTTATTGTGCCCAGACTTCCTTTAACGTATGCGGTGGCCTGGTGGCATGCCGATGCATATGTACATACCAACGGCTGCGTTTGGGAGGAAACTGCGTATAGTCTCCCGCCAACCAACCAAGCCTCTCATCATCCCAAGGCCGGTAATTCCCTACTAGCTTACCGGGAAATTTAGAACATTCACTTTCACATGGCCCGACCTCCAGAAGTCGTAGTATGGCACAAATGCCACCCAGAAAGTATGGCCATTATCATGCCCTTTTCGACTGACAGCACTTTTCGCTGCAGGCGCTGGGGCATTTCATCGGGCTGGGCTTGGTGCGGCGCCGAGCCGTTCGAGTAAGCGACACAACTGGTACAACGGGCTGACGCTGTGCCAAATCAACCCCTCGCAAGCCCGGCATCTTCAGCTAAAACAGTTATATGATTGAACATTTCTGAAGTCAAAAAATTACTAGAAATAATAGAGGTTGTTGTTCAAAGTCTTTGTATATACCCAATATTCATTTTTAGACAGCGGTGTCAATGTTGATGAAGTGGGTAGCGGTGAGCGCACAGCGCTACGTGGAGCAGCTTGGTGAGTGCATTAAAGGTGAAAGTTGAAACTTTCTGTAGCCTGAGCTACAGTTTCTGAGTCGAGCTGTACCACTTCCATGCAACACTTTTACTTTTGGGTCTCGTATACCTCTACCGCAAAACTACTTCCTTTCCAGGGCTGGTCATCGTGACATCGTCAGTCGTCTTCTGAAAGCTCACGCTAACGTGGATCGGAAAGATTCAGAAGATCGCACTGCTCTGATGGCTGCAGCATTTATGGACCACTGGGAAATTGTTGACCTGCTACTCGATCATGGGGCTAAAATCTCCGTAGGTTTTGTTTCTTCTGGCCGAATCCTAACACACCATTTCCGACAATTCCGGTCAACCAGGTAAAATCATGGGGTGAGGAAATCTGGTTGTTTATCATGACCCCTCCAACTAATACCACAGATACGAGCCTTATTATAATCTCCGTATTGATTTGCAAAGTTCAGGAAACCGACTCAGCTGGGGCCACAGCGCTACATCTGGCACTATCCAATGGTCAAAAGACAGCAGCCCACGAGCGAAGACGGTTCAGACGATACGGAGTGAGTCAATAAGTTCGAATAGCAATCTTTTCCTCATTGACTATCATTTATTCGTAAAACATATTACTTGTTATTTCTTCTTTGAATATAGCTGAGCGAACTTCTGAGATCCCTCGTCTTTGTCAGAGGCAACTCAGTTGTCAGAAGTGTAGAATGTACCTAGGGAAATCAGCACCTCATAGATCTCTAGGCGAGCGGTCGCGAAGCGGTCGGCCGCTTTCTTCATACCACATAATACAGTCGATCACACTTTCTTGCTCCTGATTCTTCCCCTTTCCTTTGAGTCACCTTGTTTTTATGGTGTCAAGATGGGGTGATCGCTTCGCATCAGCGCGCGTCACAGGTATACGAAATACCGTATGTGACAATCGAGCCGTATCAAATACGATCAATCGAATATTGAACGTTTTTATTGGTTTTCGAGTGATTATTGATGATTCCATTGCTCAAGGAGGAAGCGATCTGACGTTGGCGGACGCCCATGGACGAGTTTGCATCCACCTGGCCGCTTATCACGGCGATCGAAATCTGAAGTTCTTGATAGGTGCCACATGTATTGACGTACAAGTTAGTGAGCTTCCACTTAGCTATGGTGCTACCGTAATCTACCGTACACCATTAAAATTGTCTCTTTCCCCTACAGGATTCTCTCGGTCGAACTCCACTAATGCTTGCTGCAAGTCAGGGGCAATTGGAAGCAGTGGATCAGTTGACCAAAAATGGTGGGTTCAAGGTCGCTCATGTTTATTTTTTTGTATATTTACAGGTCAAGAGCGGCTAGCACTAAGATAGTAATTTTTTTAAAAATGCCAGCATGCTTGACAGCTCACGATTACTCAGTTGTTATCGATTTCCGATTTCCGTGACCTTTCGGGTTTTATTCAAAGGTACATTCCGTGATAACCACATGAGCAAGAGAGGGGCGGAGACTCACAACCACTTTGTCCTTATGGCCCACCTAATCTTGGTGCAGTTCCACCTTGTGGGGACACCGAAAAGTTTTTAGCAGAGCCTGTGAAGCCAGGTGCTTATATTGATTGTATCAATTCCATCATGTGAAGACCTGTAAATTTTAATAACCAAGGTGGCTCATTTGTACCAACTAGCACGTTCACGCGAGTTTACAGGTTTTACCAAGAGGAGGACCTGTTAGCTAGCGCGAATCAACAAAACGGGTTTCGTGAGAGTGCAAACTGCCCCTCCCAAGCCGAAAAGAGTCCTTTTCTCTAGAGCTCTAGTAGAAGAGGTGCACAAATAGGGCCGGCACAATTGTGAAAACACGCCCGCGCGGTTATCGCGGAATGTGTCGACTGAACTTCGTCAGCTGCAAACTTGACCCTGATCGTTTTCATCCTCAAATAAAATTCTTTTGGAATATCTCCGTTTAGGTGCTTATATTGATTGTATCGATTCGGATGGTCGGACAGCGTTCCAGTTGGCAGCCATACATGGACATCTACCTGTCGTCGATCTTCTTTTAGCACTTGGCGCTGACGAAGCCCATAAAGTAGGCGCTTTTGTCATCTCACTCATTATACTGAGGGTTTTCTTCGTTCAGCGCCATGCATTTTTCGTTAAGAAGTTGATGGGGTCAGAACTCACCTTGTTGAGCTTTTCTTCATGTCTTCGAATATTCCAGGATAACGATGGTGCCGTAGCGCTGCACTACGCTGTGGCTCACGGCGACGTGGCGCTCTGTAAGGCTTTAGCCACCTCGGCCACCGTGCGAGCTACAGATCGGGCTGGAAACCATCCGCTTATCAATGCCTGTCAAGGTGACAATGAAGAGGTCTGTTCGATAAAAAGCAGAAGCTGTCCTATCTGTCTTCTTCTGTCTGTCTGTCTGTCTGTCTGTCTGTCTGTCTGTCTGTCTGTCTGTCTGTCTGTCTGTCTGTCTTTTCATCTGCCTGTTCGTATTATCGCTGTTTCAGGTGGTCCAAGAACTCATAAATCTCGGAGCCAACGTAGAGCAACTATCCCTAAACGGTCAGAGCGCATTACGGGTAGCCGCGCTGTCCGGCAACACAAAAATTGTCCGAGTGAGTAACCCGTAGGCTTATTTGCTGCTATACCCACCTTACGTGTTTTCGACAGCATAGATGAGTAATTTTTGGTGGGCTAGAAGTAATTTTTATGACTCACTTCCATTCAGCTGCTGGCCGAACATATTACTGACTGGGAACAGCAGGACATGGATGGCACTCCACTTGTACATACATTGCTTATCAATAAACAGGTACATTTCTTGAAGCTTGATTAGGAGGCTCAAAATTTTGTCAAAATATAGCGGCAACGGCTTATATTTTGACAAAATATAGCCGTCGGGGGTGGCGTGCGCAGGAAACCGGACATCATTGGGCAACTCCGCTCTCTCCTCGCAGCGGGAGCGACGACCGTTCCCTGCTCGCCCTCGGTTGTCCTACTGTGATTGTCTTTTGTAGTTGACCGTGAAACAAGTGACAACCGGCAGCGCGAATCTGACGCTGAGAAGTTGAGGCACGCGCAGCTCTTGTTCTGTGGCTGGAGACTGATCTTGGGAGAGGAAATGTTTGTAGGAAGAAATACAATATAGAAAAATCCCGCACTGCCCCAAACTTATATTATCACCAAAGTATTTCTTCAGTTTATCTTATAACTTGAACTAGTATGTCAGCAAGCGAAAGAAAACTGTTTTCAGACGGCAATGGCTGAATTGCTGCTGACGCTTGGGGCATTTATCTCGGCTCGAGACGCCCATGGACGGGACAAGCTGTGTCCATGGGTGGTGCAGGTTTATGGGTGGAGGACGAATTTTACACTGGGAGGGGGGGCGCGGTTTGTATGGGAAAGTAGAGGAGTGAAGATCAGCTGACGAGGCGCGTGTGAGAGATTTGTAGATATTCGGCGCGTTTTTCCACGGAGAGGCAGGGTTTGTAATTTAATAAGGTATAACTGGAGATCAGCGGGCGAGGTTAGGATCTGGGGGCCGGGGCCACGAGGGGTGGTGGTGTGCAGAAGCGAGCGGGGGACACACGAGAGGAGGATGAGAGTGTGGCGTCGGGCAGGAGGGGGGGGGGGGGTGAGGGACGGCGCGAGGATTTGAGGAAGCGGCGAGGCGGGTTGGGAGGGCGGCCGGGCACGTCGAGGGGGAGGAGCTGGGAGCGCGGCCGCGGGGGAGCGGGGGGGAGGCGTGGAGGGCGGGGCGGACGGAGGTGGGGAGAGGAGTGGGTAGCGAGGAGGCGGGCGGGTGAGGGGGGCGAGGGGGGAGGTGGTGTGCGAGATGAGGAGAGGGGGGACCGGCGCGCTCCGTGGTGGTGCGTCAGGGGAAGGAGGGCAGAGGAGAGAGGGCGGGCGAGGGCGAAGTGTGATGGCAAAGAGGGCCGAGCAGGCGTGGAGGGGTGGAGAGGGGCGGGGGGGGTAGCGCGGCGGAGCGCGGGGGAGGCGGGGTGTGTGCCGCTAGGAGGGGGTGAGATGTGGGGCGGGAAGCGGGGCGGAGGGAGCGGAGAGAGAGTGGCCAGAGGGCGAGGGGACGAGCAGGGGGGGAGGAGAGGGAGCTTATCTGTGAGATCTGATTCTTGGGGAAGAAGAATAGGTAGTTATAAGGAATCATATGCATAACTTACTGGTGAGTTGGAGAGCGTTGCAATAAGCTGCGATTGAGGGCGAGGGCTGTCACGGAAGGGAGAGCAACGAAACTGCTGGCCGAGTACGTAGTAAAGAAGAGTGGGAAGACATAGAGGAAGGAAATAGTTGAAAACGGAGCAAGTCTGTCAGCACCATGCCTTTTCTAGGTGTGCGCCATTAATGATATGTGTGGTGCTCGGATGCTTCGACGTCTCGCGGCATCGTTCGAAGCAGTGGATTCTGGTGGTCGAACACCGCTTCTGACGGCCGTCTGGAATTGTCATCTGGAAATGGCCGCCTACCTGCTCGAAACTGTCGGCGTCAATCCGAAAACGGCGGAGAGGGGGTCAGTCTGGAGGAGTAAACGAGGGGTGGCGTGGGTTCGTGCAGGAGGTATGGGGCATCGGGAGAACGGGGGAGGGGGAGGTGAGGACGAGAGGAGGGGCGCACGACATACTTGCGCGAGTGTCTATGGTTTATTTTCACTTCGATGCGCTTTAGCACGCTAAAATATTTACACAAAATACGACGTAAAAAAATAGGAGCTATTGGTTGATCGATTCAAAGAAATGAAGAATTCCAAAGATTTTTCGGTGAATGCTATGAAAAACTTTCGGCGTTCACAATACACGTGAAAGAGGAACAATAATAATATGAGCAAAGAATGCAAGTGTATACAAAACAATACTAGATACAGTCCTCAATGGCCGTTCGAGGGGGCGTGTTCCCAGTGCGATGTGGCTTCTGGCGCAGCGCCAGCTCGCTTTCCAACAGTCATTGGTCGAAAATGACCTGGCGCCGTCCCAAAATCCACGCTACATTGACACGCTCTGTCGATTCATTGTTGAAGACTATATGTACAGGAACACCTGTACGCTCCTTTAGGGTGTTCGACGCTTTAAAGTCTGTAGCGCACCAGCAAGGAAGATCGCGACTGGTAGTGCTGCTAAACGCAATGTGGAGCTGAAGCCTCGTTGAAACGATCTGGCTGACGAACTAGGCATTGGACGTGGCCACATAATGTATGGAGCAGCGATACCTTCAAGGCTGTCTTCAGGTTTGTTTTTGTCATTGTCTCGCGAAATATCTCTCGCTACAAAGCTGAGTACTCGTTCTTTGGGGATCTTCTGAATTGTGCGAAAAGTGACCTGGCCCATCGAGGCACCACCGGTGCGGAGTGCAGGAACGACGTCATTCGGTGAGGGCTTCTGCTTGCGCCTTGAGACAGTAGAGGCCACCTGATGAACAATGTTCCTCCTGGTTCCATCCCTCGCAGACAAATCAAATTGAAAGTGCAACAAAAAGGGACGAGGAGCTGGCCCTCGCAAAACAAGAGGGACGAGGAGCTGCCCATTCGCCGCAATCTGAGGAGATGAGATGCGGCATTTTTTGAGGCCGAGTTAACCTAGCATCAAAAGAGGGTGATCGACGAATTAGTGAAAAGAATAGAGTAGTTGACGAGTAGTCAGCAAATATTAAAAGCTTTTTCATTCATCTACGCTCTCAGCGGCTTCGGCTTAACATATTGAGCGCTATCTCCCCAAGAGGGCACAGACGATGAAACGGATGAGGCCTACTTTTACCCAGTAAGGCAGTGTTTAGACTTGTCGCGCTGAAATTGTAGCGCAACAAGTCTGAACGCTGCCTAACTCTCCTAACTTGATAAGCGATACAGACTCCTGACTATGAAACCGTGTACGAGTACCTTTCTAATAATCCTTTTTTCAGTCAGCAAGCGGCTCAGCTGATTCGTCGGGGTTTGGCAGCGTGCCAAACTCGCCATTGGATTTCAGATCTTTGGGGCGAAAGTCGCTAAGGAAATCACAAAAACTGGCGGTCACTAGTCCACGATTGCTTAAGAAACCTGTATAATTCCTCTAATATTCTCTCATTTCATTGAAAAATGCTCTGTTAACGAGAGACTTTCCGGTCATCTAGTCACGGTATGATTCTATTCTACATATTTAATATAGAAAGAATATGAAGATTGTATTAATAGATTTTTATTGGGGCAAAGACAGTTGAAGGGTGCCACAAGGTAAGGCTGCTATGCCATGTCTTGCCTGTCTTGTCTTGCCATGCTTATTCAAGGTCGTAGAACGAACTCTCCTATTCGGTGAGAGAGCGCAGACGAGCAAAGATGGACGAGGCACGGTAGCTTCACCCCCAACTATCTTTGCCCCTTTTATTGTTGGCATTATGTATCGCGCATTTGAACTGTCTTTTATGCTTGTTGTTCACTCAAATGCTCTTGGTCTCTACATGTACGAGGAATGATGTAGGAAATCCCTCATTTGATTGATACTGCACACGTTCGTACGTTTCGAAATAAAGCTTTTATAAAAATATCAAATTTGTACGTACAGGTCCTCCTGCCCCTTCCTAGATGTGGCTGAGTTCAGGCAAGAATTTTTTACTCAGGCAATATCTCAAACATGTTCAGCTTTGCAATCAGAGGTGCTGGCTGGGAGATCCATGTTGCGGCGCCGCGGCGAAAGTGGGGTTGAAAAAGGGGTCGCTGCAACATTAGCATCAGGGCCTAATTATCCACTTTTATTAGGTGGAGACCTGCAGCACTTCGATTGAAGTAACTAGGAAATACAAGGTAGTTTGTGGCGTAGCCGCGACGTGGATCTCCCGACCTATTATCAGAGAGCATAAGGATAAGTCTCACTGCAAAAAGCACCAACTGCTACACGCTCCAAGCACTAAAACTACGGCAAATGGGTGTTTCGAGATTGCCGCGCAGTTTTGTCGCAAGAGTTCGCGCGCGGCGAAATTGCGCGCCATGCGGCAGAAATGTCTTGGCACGCGCATTTGATCTGCGTAAAAGCTCGCAGTTATTTGCTGGATTCACTTTGCAAATTGGATTCGACTGTTCATTGTAGCCGTATATGACGTTGTAAGGTTTTGGTGGGTCTACAAACCTAGTAATCGGAGGCTCTGAGGCCAAGGACAATGTCTTCCAAATCCTCCCACTTAGTAAAGGCTGAAATCAAATTTTTCTGCTGAATACACATTTCCAGGAGGTTGCCCACACATATACAACATACTAATTTAATGACTGCGAACGCCACATATCCTTTATGAGGCTTGTGGAGTTGCCTCCACCTGAATACGCCCTAAGACTTTCCACTTCTCAAGAGCTTGCGGACATATGATACTCAACACATTAAAACTTCACTGTTGTGTACATGTTTCTTGAGCTGAGGGAACGCCCTTGATATGACAAAAATCAAATCTGAGTAGCGAAAAGACATGCGTATGCCTTAGTCATTTTTTCCCTTTCGCTCACACAGGACCGCAGACTGATTACACTCCTCATGAACAACCGACGAATGGGGAGGATCCGTGAGACAAACTCGAACGCCATTTGCTCGAAACTTGGAAAAAAAAGCATATTTTGCTGAAGCTTTGTCTCTAGGAAGTACTTTTAGCCAAAACGGTGACAAATAAAGCACGCTCTAGAGAGAAGTGTCTCACTTGATTTGAAACCTACTGCTCCAGGATTTTGGGCATCGCCCTTGAAGCAGTTCGGAAACGCTGATTGGCCTGTGCTCGGCCCTAAATGCTAGTTAGGCGCTACTATAGCTGGGCGGAATTGGCCCAAATAAGATAACTGTGAGCCGGAACGGTCAAACCCTAAGCCTAAAAAAGAAGCCTTTCAGTTCTCACTTGTCGTTAGTAATCAACTGTGACGAGTTTCCGAAGCATCTCACCAATAAACCCGCACGAAGGTAGGCTAGATCGTTACTCATATATTCATGCAGCATCACGCGACCGCTTCATACAAGGGCCTATGCGCTACACTATTGCTTAAGCAATAAATCAATTCGCAGGCTCCTGGAACAGTCGTCCTTTGTGGGCGGGGCGGCAAGGGGGCGTTTGGACGGGCAAGTCTGTGCCTTGATAGCGCCCCTCCTCATAGGGCTTCTCCTCTGGATAAGGCATTATGCAGCGCCTGCTCAGGGTCGCGGAATTCCGTCCTGCCAGGCGTATTAGTCCTGCTCGTCTTGGAGGATTTAGTGCGCCTACAAATGCCTTTCAAGTAAGAGAAAAAATGGTCTTATATCGAACGGTATTAAGTCTATTGAATGGCCGCCCAACTTCTTCCATTCAGCCATAACCTTACATCGAAAGCCTGTGCAGTAAAGTAATGCCCTGTCTTCCCAGCCACACACGGATGGTCTTAAATCGAAAAACAGGAGCTAAAACAGTGATGCCGTACTCGTTTGGAAAAAGCGACTCCTGAATAGGCTGGTCCCAGGTCATTGTATAGGCCATGAATCATTCAATGTGGAACAGCGATTTTGACTTCAAGTAAAATGCGTGGCGCATTCCAAAGAGGAATTGGCAACGTGAAAAGCTTTTCAGTCATGGGAAGTCTCATGGGAAGCCTACAGGACAGTGCCATGGAGGCCTACGGCCGCCCATTGTTTCATGTTCCTGTGCCATGTGCCATCAGGACTGATCTTGAAGGTTAGCGCGATTCAAGCTGAAAATCCGACAAGCAACTTCACTGTTAGCCTTCTTGAACCAATGCCCTAGCACTCGAGGATGGAAGACTGAGACCTGTGCTTTTTGGACCTTCAGCAAAATTTGAGAATTTTCAAAAGGTCATTGATTGTTGGGCCGTTATTGACGGGATTGACCAACCCGGTCAATTACCCCACCACCTTCGAGTCAGCGGCCAGTTTCTTCGATCGATCGGCTATTATTCTCTTTTTCAACTTCTTTTTTTGCCTGTTGGGACCTCCTAAACTATTTTCATCTAGATGTTCTAGGATTACTTCACATTCCTTTTACTCGGCTCTATCAAATAGAACTAGTTTTATCAAGGCAAATGGTAAGCAATGTAAATTTTGGGCATCTTACAGCGGTCTTCGCTTTCTATCCTCACATTTTCCTAGGTCTCCTGTTTCTGCGGCACATTATTCAATTTTTACGAGGATTCTCGAGGATTCTCTTCTATTTGTTCATCTCTTCATCTCCCTGATCATCTCTGTACTTTTGTGCGGAATATAAGGACATAACTGTGCTCCAAAGATTCGATTGTAGGTTGTGGCTGAATAGAGGTATCAAAGGCCGATCATGGGACTTACCTTCGTGATAACATTTTTTCTAAGAGGTCGTCTAGTCTGACAACCCGCGTTTCCCTTGTTTCTCTGGTACGTTCGGCCACCGCGCCAGTGTTTCTATGCTTCTCGTTTCTAGAGCAAAGCCATCTACTGGTTGGAAATTCAGCTGCAAAAAGTGCGTGCGCTTTTTTCCAGCTTATTCTGCTTCTTCCACTAACAACTCTTCTAGCGTCTCAATCTTATCCCTGAATCCTTTTCCTCACGACTGCAATCGCATCGCTTGCGTTGCGAGCCAATCAAGAGAACCTTTAAATCATCGTTGGGTTCTTTCAGGTGTAAACGGTCGTGAGCTCACCCGGCTGAAAAAAAGCGAAAGAAAAGCAAGGGCTTCGGAGGACACGCATAACTGGTTCGTTTTATCTAAACTACGATATTTTTCAGACGGAAAATTATGCGGCGCTATTCTTCTGTATTTCAGTCTTCAAGATGAGTCACAATGATCAGAGACGATCGCGGCGACTTCATAGAGGATCGTTCCAACTGGGAATTGCTGGAAACTCACGCTAAGACCGCTAAGACGATCTTATTGAACTATTCAAGGCTGCTTTCATGCTTCGGCGCGTCCGATTTGCTTTCTTAATTACGATGCTGTTTCTTACTCATGTGTTGATAGGGAAGTCCGAAATGTGGAAGCAGCCTCGGCTGTTTAAAGGCACATTGCGATGGGTGGAGACCCACAACTACTGCGTCATTGGCGCCTCTCTCATTCTATTAAGGTAGAGAGCAAGGGGCACTGATGGAGGGCACGGTAGTTGTGAGTCTCCGCCCATCCGCCTGCCACGAAAGGTGTTTTTGTGGGTTTTTGTTGCAGGTATCATAACTCAGGGCCCGCAAACAATCTGCTCTCTCGACGTCGCTTCCAGAGATGGCTTTGACTCTGCAGCTTACGATCAGACTACTCCTCAAAGTGATCAGTGGACAATCTGTGAGCATGAGTAGAACGTGGGCACTGCACTTGTGCCAGGTGGGTGATTGACGCAGTCTCTCTCAGAGCTTCGCGAGAGGTCTATCTTCGGGAATGCCTTCGTTAACGTGCACATGTTGTCAATGCTAAAGGTAGAACTCCGTCCGTGTGGGCTGACAGCTTGCACGTCAACTAATTTTGCAGACCTATCGCCCCCCCCCCACTTCTGGCTCTGAAGCAGAGTTCGGACTTCGCGTTGATCTCGCGTGCTTTCGACAGCGTCACTCGCGCATACTTTCATCGATCGACGCAATTGAAAGCATCACGCGAACGTGCGACCGAAGCGTTGCCGTTACGAAGTCTGAACGCTGCCTAATGATGAGGTGACTGGTAGGAGGGGACTGGATGCAGAGTGCAGTGGAGAGGTGTTGAGCCACGCGCCTTTTTCACCTGTCTGCGTCCTCTCAGCGAGATAGTGGTGACAGGAGATAAGCGAATAACGGTTGCGGCTTTGCCTTTCCCAAGTGATGCACATGGCCTCATTCCCTCCTTCTTAATCCATCGGTCCTCACTTATAAATCGTCGCACGACCACCGTGCTCTATTGCTAGTCGTTGAAGTGCAGCTGCTATTCCAGTCGCATCCGTAACTAATAAATGACGTTAGCACTGGAGCGTCGTTTGTGAAAAAGGCTGCTATGGGGCCTATATTTTTCAGCTCCTTTGTAAGCTCCTTGTAATGCTAACCTAATCGGTTTCACTGGTCATAGAAGAGA